GAAGCTTCTTACATTGATATGTCTTAAGGGAATGGCTGAAGCTCAGGAGAAGACCCCCAACATCTCCAGGGAGGGCTGAGAAGGCTTGTTGCTTGAATTCTTGCAGAGAGGCTGCCAGTCCGTGTTGTCAATACTAGACGAAGCGATGATCTCTCCAGCCAGCGTGCGTTTGGGTCTATTCGCAAAGAATGGACGAAATGCACACTTAGGCTGGTATCCGAATGCTCAGATCTGCATCCTGTGTGACGCTGAATCTCTTGTTTCTAGCGATTACTAGCAGGAGGTTCCGCAGAGTAGCCGGCTTGGGGGGTAAAGCGGGGCAGAGAAGGTGGAAGGCTTGAGACTGTTAAGGAACCAGAGCAGGAAATTAAATGAGAATGAAAAATGAGCACCTGGGGATCTGGTGGGCCATTACCGTTTCAGGATAGCAGCCTCGTCTGAGCAGGCTTCCGTTTTTCTGCCTCGTTCTTCTTGCCTTCGAATGTCTTTCAGGAGCCATTTTTAAGTCCATAGATTCATGTTGCGAGGTGTTGAATTCTTCTGTTAACCCAGATCTCTTCCTCTCTGCAGCCTCCCTGGCTGCTCCTATGAGCAACTGGAATATTTCACGGGAGAGAAGCCCCCTCCTGCAAAGTCTAACACAACATCTGGGTGGACTTCAACTCCCAGAATTCTCATCAGTGGCCATGTTGGCTGGGGAATTCTGGGAGTTGAAGTCCACCCATCTTCCAGTGGCCAAGTTTGAAAAACACTGCTCTAAATGTTATAAGTAGTTAAGCTAGATAACTTAAGGTGAGAAATCTTAGGATATGTAAGACATTGCAACAATTTTAGCTTTTTATGAATTTAATACAGGCTGTAGCCCTACCAGGATTTGATTGGGGCTATTGCAATGATAATCCAACCCATTAAAAACAAAATAAAGCATAATGTCACTGGAATGGTAGATGTGTATTAAAAAAAAAGAATTAGGATATTTTATTCCTATTTTGGAAGGGTTGTTATGCATTTGTTTTATGCTGGTCCACAGCGGACAGAAAAGCAAGTGAGAAAATCGTGGCCTTGAAGGTCGGACAGCGAGCGGGTTGGTGACACCACCAGGGTGGGTGGGACGGACATGCGGGGCCTTAAAAACACAGGCACCCCCCGGAGATATCGCGGGTTCAGTTCCAGACCACCACAATGAAGCGAAAATTACAACAGAGCGAGTCACACAAATTGTTTGGTTTCCCAGTGCATAGAAACGTACCGTTTGCACTATACTGTAGCCTATCAAGTGTGCAATAGACACACTACATTGTCGTGCAAAGTCAAAACAACCCAGCGTACACACCTTCATCAAACCATTTCTTAAAATAAGACCACAAGCCACATCGCGGGGCTGTTCCTTTCGCGAACGATTCCTCTGCTGCACGTGAGGCTGTTCGATACACGCCATATCTCCGATGCGCAGTAAAGCGATGTGCCATAAAACGAGGCGTGCCTTTATCGGGAGGTTGGTGAGAAAAAACTTTGTTTTTACCATTTTTACCTGCCCCAAAATGGGCCATTTCATTTCCGGACGCGCACAGGTTGGTCCGGAGAACCATCCCGTTGAACCCCGAGTTAAACAATGACAAAAGTCCCCACGTTTTACAGGGCTCCCTGCTGCGCTGGGTCCCCCCCAAAACCATTGCTGCAAAGAGCCAAATGCAAGTCACGGCGAGACCACATTTTCCACCCAGCAGGTTTGCCCGAATTTTTTAAATTCTGGCTTCAACAGAATTAGCCCCAAGAGTTCAAGGCTGGTTTGCCCCCCACCCCACCGTCCTTATTAACATCCCCATTGTAATTAATCCAAACTTCCCGGGGATGGGCAATTTTAAAGATGGGACTCTGGTTTATTTATTTCCTCCGGCCATCATCTCCCCCAGTGGGCGCAGATGCCGGCTGGCTGCTGTGCGGTTTTCAAACTGAGGGTTAAATCCCACCATAGCAAGGAGCCCATATAAGACTGATCATCTGGAGGCAGAAGGAGGGGAAGAATAAAGTGCATTATTTTGGATAGAAAAAAAAAAAACTCAGGAGGAGTCTGGTGGCACCTTTTCTGATTAGCCCATTTTTTCCCAAAGGCACCACATTTTAAAGGCATAAAAAACCAGACTCCTGATTTGCTGGAACCACAATTCAAACGGCCCCTGTTTCGGATAGAGCTACCATCTTCCCGACATTCAGCTAGAAATGGGTCTTCTCGGAGACTTGGTGGGATCTGCAGTTCCAAACCATTTTGATCAGGGGTTGGGAGCATTTTAAATATCTCGATGACATGCCTAGAAAATAGAGCCTTTTCAGAGTCTCCGACGGTGCAGCCCTTCTGTGTGGCTTCATGCCACCCCCGGAGCCCTGCAGCCAAGTTAAGCAAACCCAATTCTCGTCTTCAGACAACTCCCCCGCACCCCGTCCTCTTGAATTGCATATAGTCTTTTTATAGAGTCTTATTTTTTTAGCTAAATTCATACGGATAGGTACATTTTTACTGTTCTTAATGTTTGGATTTCCATTGCGAGATGCCCAGGGTCGCTCTCTGGGGGAGAGGGGCGGCGTATATGTTAAATAAATAAATAAATAAATAAATACGCCGTGCCCAAACTTCCAGAGTTGGAATCAGGATACATGGCTTCTGATCCTCTAAATAATATTTTTCTCCTGTCTTTGCAGTGAATTTGCTGGATACGTCCAAGATTATTGGTGATTGGGGGTGGCTCATTTATCCTTCACATGGGGTAAGTAAGTAAGTAAGTAAGTAAATAAATAAATAATAATAATAATATAGTGCCAATAGTTATAGGTCCTTGGGGGCCATCCCAAAACATCTGGAGCACCGCTCGAAGACACCTCGGCATTGACAAAATCACCATCAGTCCTTTGCCAAAGGCAGCTTGACTTGGAACCATTTATATCCCGCAACGAGGCCTTTAACACAATCAGACGACAACGTCTGCCTATCCCAGGTCCTCCAAAAATGCCAAATCCAGTCCAAACATCTGGCGGACTGTGCAACCAACCAAAATTTACATACTGCCCGACTCTGGGAATGTGACAGAGTTTGCTGGATGAAATCCAGGGGCTTTTAAGCCAGCTCCTATTTCCCATGCTAATCACCTTCTTCATTCTGGAAATCCCCAAGCAAATTGCCCGGTGTTGGAATATCCGTGCCGTATCTTATTTTCCTTTAACTTGTTTTAGAAGGCTCCCGGGGAGCAGAATTGGTCCGAGAGGGTGGCGGCAGAGTCGGGCATTTTCCAGAAGCAATAAACAACAGAGAAACATCATCTTCTCAGCGCTACCATTTCAATTTTGCCCAGCGCACCCAGGAAGATTGAATGCAATTTAAGAAGTAGCTTGCTCTTCCCAGCCTCAGGCGGCAAAATTAGGGTGCTGCGCTCTCGCATGTCAAAGAGGGCGAGAGATGTGCAAACACCCAGCGGTTCCGTTCGGAGGCAACCCGGCCCTTCTCCCAAAGCGAGCCGCAGGCCGGGTGGAGACGTCCGTGAGGTCGGACGCTTTGGCCCCGATGGAACTGGGCCCGTTGATGTTCCGGATCAGAGCAATGGACAAAGCTGGTTTGATTCACCGATTCTCTGAATTTTCTGAATTCTGAAAAGGCCACCGGCCTTTTCCGACGTTCTTTTTTTTGGAATAACTTCATTGGCTGTTTAAACAAGAGCGGTAAAGACGAGCAAGAGCGAATGTTTCCGATAAAGGAAGAAAAGAAAACGCGAGAAAAAGAGAGGGAACAAAGGAAAAAAAAGGAAATGATTCCCATTTTCTTTTACAGCAGCTATAGATATAGATTTAACTTGAACTCTTACAACATCGCTTTCTTTTCTTTCCATCAGCTAATATTTTTTCGAACCATCAAGCCCATATATCATAATTTCGGTTTTTTTTCTGTTTCATGCAAAAAGTCCAAAAGGGGAATCTTTTCTGAAATTCTTTTCAGATGCAAGAATTCGTTTTCTTGCATTGCCGGCTAATTTAGAATTGGCAGGACGGATAGTGAAGCAGGAGGGCATTAAAAGAGGTGCCAGGACCAAAACAAACAGCATCGTGATTATTTAAATTGTCTCCCTGAATTACTTACAGCACCCAGGAAATGCTTTTGTGGGGGACATTTTATAGCCCCTCAATCTCTGGTTCCCCCTGCCCCAGTTGCTTAGTTTAGGCATCAGCAAAAGAAGGTTAGATATTAATCAGGATCAAGTGTCTAGTCCCGTGTTTCTTAACCTTGGCAGCTTTAAGATGTGTGGACTTCAACTCCCAGAATTCCCCAGCCAGCATGGGTAGACTTCAACTCCCAGAATTCCCTCACCAGGAATTCTGGGAGTTGAAGTCCACTCATCTTAAAGTTGCCAATTTTGAGAAACACTGATATCAGGTGCTTAGCTAAGACAAAAGAGGGTAATTATACATAAATAAATATAAATAATTATCGAGTTGGGGACAGGGCAAAAAGTTTGTTATCTCACAAGAGTAAATAGGAAGCTCTATTTGTCTAAACAGCCTCTCTTCCTATTTATTGGAGACTGGAAACCCCTTACGGACTTCTTGCCTAAAACTGAAAAAAATGAACTTGTGATTTATGGTTTTGACATTAGGCAGGGGAGATTATAGAAAGAAGAGAGTCGTGATGTAACTTGAGAGGGAGAGGTGAAAATAGAATTGTGCTTATAACTGCTGTGAAGAATATCAGAAGCCACTTCTTTATATCTTCCTCTTTTTTTTACTTCCTTCTACTTTTTTTCTTATTGCACTTTTCGCTTTGCCTTTTATTTCTGTTTTCGTCTGTATTAGTTCTTAGTATTGCTGTTAAAACTTTCAGTACAAATTATAATTAAAAAATAAATAAACCGCCTCTCTTCCAGGGGTTAGTGGAAAAATGCGGGTCAGTCCCAGGACAATCAATCAATCAATCAATCAATCAAACCGATGGCTCACATACAGCCCTTCCTCCCACCCCAGTGCCGCTGAGAAGTTCATTAACTGCAGACAGCCCAAGATGGTCTAACGGTGGCCTGATTCGACAAGGTGAAAAACTACCCCAACAGACCTAGCAGAAACTGCTGGTGGTCCCTCCGCCCTGGCAGGTCATTTCTCCCTCGCCCGCCGGCCAAATTTAAACCATGCCATTATCTCCTTTCTCCCCTCTTTATCCTTTTATAATCTATTTTTTTTTTAAATCTAGTATTAGCTTCCATTTAAACAGCTAAATCCCCGAACAGAGATGCAACGAAGCCCCTTGTCTCAGCGCATTAATAATCGATCCATGAATTGCTTTTATTTATTTATTAAATTTATATGCCGCCCATCTCCCCCAAAGGGTGACTCATATTCTTGCTCGTTAGAGAGTCTTCTCTTAGTGGCAGGAGAGCTGTCGCATTATGTCCAAGCAACAGCCGTGGCGTGCTGGCTTGAAATTGGAAAGCTCCCCTGGGCCGTCCCTTCCTTGCTGCAGAAGGGGGTCTTCAGCCCCCCGATCATCGGGGAACTGCCGTTCCTCGGTCTGAATGTTTTTGATCAGTTCACCTTGAGCAGGGTGGGAAAAGCACACATTTTAAAATTTTATTTTATTTTTTTATTAATTTTATTGCAAATGCACCCCGCGTGCGCCTCTCCAAATTGTATAAAATTCAACGCTGTGGATTATATGGAAAGCATTGGGGGGGTTGCTTTGGCAAAGGAGGGTGCAAACCCCCCTTCCCCTCGTTCGTAAAAGGAAAGAGCTCCCCGGATTCTAAAAACGAAGCCCCACGGCTGCATCGTTCCTGCTGTTCCGGCGGGGGGGGGGGCGGGTTTCCGCCTTGCGTGTGCTGAAACATCTTCCAGGTACCCAGCCCCAAAGGAGGTCTTGAGATAGCACTTCGCATCTCAACAAGCTGAACGGCATCGCCTCCTGAAGCTTAGACCATGATTGTAAGGGTTGGAGGGGGTCTTAAAGGGCATCTAGTCCAACCCCTGCCCCGTGCTGGAATTCATCCTTACAAAATCCCCAAAATTTTGCACCCCATTCTAAGCGTGGTTCACCACACCTGGTGGCATAGTTTGTTCGGTCAGCTTCTCATCCGGGGGAGGTGCCAACGCCCCAAAAGCTCACTTCCAAATTCAAGGAAAAGTGTTATGTGAATCCAGCCTGGGGTGGCTATTTTTAGAGGAATATTCATGTTCTTTTTTTTTCCTTTTTCTTTCTTTCTTTCTTTTTTTTTAATTAGAATTTTTAAATACAATAAAAGTATATAAAAAAGGAAAAATAAAAATAAAGAAGAGAAGATAAAAAAAAGAGAAAGAGAAAGAAAGAAAGAGGAAAGAAAAAAAGGAAAGAAAGAGACAGAAAGAAAGAAAGAGAAAAAGAAGGAAAGAAAGAGAAAGAAAGAAAGAAAGAAAGAAAGAAAGAAAGAAAGAAAGAAAGAA